CTGAAAATGGGTCCAGAAACATAAGCGGATGTCCTCAGACTAATATTGCAGAAAGTTTGGGGGGGGGATGAGAAGGTACCTCTTGATAGAAAGGTCTACCTTGTCAAACTATCCAATTGGGCCTTTGCAATCACCAATGCTGAACCAGGCTCCTATACATCCTAAGCAAAATATTTAGCCACATTATCGCGACAAGACGAAAAGATGCTTTGGATACAAACATGTGCAATTACAAAAAATTCATCCAAAAGAAACAAATTATGTGCGGATCAAATGGTGAATCCATCCATCATCATCGAAGAGAGCATAGAATGGCAGTCATTTCTCTACATCAGTTTCATTGACTTCGTAAGGGTGTTTGATAGCATAGAGTAGTTCCGAAATTGTTTCGGCATTAAAGGTGTGTAGTTCCGAAAACTTGTATCAATCTCATTTAGCAGCTGTATTATGATAAAGTAAGTCAGTTGATTTACAACAGAAAACTAAGCGGTGGATTTGAAGAAAGACAGGAGTGAGACAGACTTATTTACTATCATCGGTCTTCTTCCTTCTTCAGATGGACTGGATCATGTGACATGCAGTAGTGAGTTAGGTGATAGACGTAGGGAGAATTGACAAAAAGAATTTAGGAGATCTCAAACTTCACGGATGAATTATGTCACACAAACTGGAAGATCTACAGACGAAAACTGACAAGTTGGGAGAAGAGGCACGCATGTAGGCAGGTAAATAGGCAGTCACAGAAGACGCGACTTCAACCGAACATGGATAAGACAGAGGTGAAGGAGTATGCTCACCATTATTACCACCACCATCACTATCAACAACAATAACAGTAACAACAACCAAAACAGCAAGCACCAATCATCATAAATTGGCATGAATCTGATGGAAGTCACTTCTCTCACTTATCTGAGCAGCACCATTTCACCTTCAGGTGGAAAAACACAGATGAGTGTGAAGGCAATCAGGATCGGAAAAGGAAGACAGATCTTCCCCACTCTGAAATCAGCGTGTAGATCTACGGCACTCACCACAACAATCAGCATCGGAATTTCCAACACTAATGTGAAGTCAGCGAGTGCATTCATGTGGTTGATTGACTTGGTGTTCCAGTAACCAACAGTATTTGAGACACAACGCTGGCGATTTCCACAAACGCTTATGTTGGCTGTGTGATCACTGAAGACCAGGTGACTGCTTGGGAATGATAGTCAGCAAGGGCTTGTGATGGTGAGCGAGTCAACCAACGACCTATTTCTTGCGCAACGAATGAATCTATATAAGGAAATGGACATGGATTGATTGAGGATACACTGAGGAGACAGTTGAGTGACGTGATGTACGAGGCTGTGGTTCGGAATTGATGGATTGTAAATGACGAGTTTGGTGTTTGATAGTTACACGCAGGAGATTGTTTTAGGAGGAGATGAGGGTTTACGGACAATCAGGAGGCAAGTTGAATATTAACGACGAACGTGGAGAATTGATTGTGGTGTGTGTTTGCTTTCGAAGTCCTATTATTCACGCCTAAGCTAACAGAATAATAATAATCTCTCTGAAGAGACACTGAGTGTCTATTGTAATTTTTGGCTGTAGCTGTTCCTTCACATTTATTTCTCAAGGTGACACAAGTGTAGTGGTTATGTAGAGAGCATCAATACTTTTACTGCATACTTAGTAATTTCAAATCTAAAGTTTTTTTCTTATTCTTTTGCGTTCCGAGGGGAGCAGATTGCTTGAAGATTGCCTTTCAAAGTCTCAGTATTGTTGGCATTTCTTTCAGGGTGTGGTTGCTGACCTCACACCCAACGTCCCGTCTTTTTTTGCTCACAACAGGTTAAGTTAGGTGCAGGTGTGCGCCAGCCATAAATTCGACATCGGGCCCATTGTTTGTTAGGTGAGGTTTTTACCAGTGTAACATCGTTGTACACTTTACTTAGGTGCATAACAAAAGCCCTAGGTCTACATTAACCGGCACCAATCTATTATATTTTAACTGATTACTAGAATTCAAACAAGAAATGGACAAGGTCTTCGAAAAATAACATTAAAGATTCCGTACTTTCCAGAGGCATTTACTGAATGCACTTTCTGCGTCTTTCGAATCGGCTTCTGTTTATGACTAAAACTACTAATATATTTTAGAGTCTGGGTTTTAAGTCTGGTAAGGTGGGTCTTGTGTTATGATCACAGCATAAACTAGACTTAAAGTCACAGAAAAATGAGAGATGAAAGTCAAAAAAAGCAATGGAAATATTTCATGACTTTCAAAATAAATAAGTTAAGCAAGTGAATCAGGCGAATATTCGGTAAAAGAAAACCTCATACTCAATCACACCAGTTGTAAAGAATTCGATATACAGTAATAATTAACTGATTAGTTCGATATGGTCGAAACCTTTATAGGACAGAAATCTACTGAGCTTATTTCATAGTGTTGTCTGTCCATTTCACCGAAAGTCTTAATACTATTTCCAAATTTTGTATCCTAATCTTAGATTTTTGTATACGATTGTATTTTTTTTGATTTTTTGATTTTTGATTTACAGCTTGATTCCACACTGTATTTTTGGTACAAGTATGGAATTTTCAGCATGGATATCGGTAGCCCAAATTTTGCAGGCCGACCATAGATATCAGGTGTGCGTCGGCGGGGGTTCGAACCTCGGTCCATGTGCTTGGTCGGCGAAAATCCTAACCACTCTGCCACTGACGCACAGTGAAATATATCATAAAAAATCAGACGAACGATGTAAACTGGGACCATCAGCAGCTTAATAAAAAAATATTAAACTACAGATTATCTGTAGGTGTGAACAATCCAATAATTTGTATTGATCATAAGTTGATAATGCTACTCCTCTGATACAGAAGTTGTCTGTAGATTTAAAGTGTTAAATTGAAAAAAAGCTAAATAAATTCATCTTAGGTTTTGACAAAACAGTAAGAAGACGTGATTTATTTACATGCATAATTGTCACACATTCATTCTCAAGAATTAGTTTGCAGGGATCTTATTTGTTTCAGGTAAGACCACAGATTGATATTAGTCAGAGAACCACTGAAAACCAAGGAGTGCTGTCATCGGCAGTACGCACCCACTGGGTTTCGAACCCAGGACCCTCCGGTTACATGGTAAGCTCATATATCATTCAGCCACCGGGAACCGATTCTCAATGACCCATGAATTAACACTTCTACCACTTCGTGATTTTGGCTCAATTTCCAACCAGTATCATCGGTGGGAACTCCATTCTCACTCCTGACTAGATGGACCCTACTGGTCAAGACTTCTCAATAGAACTTCAGGCAATTTAGCCCTGTAGTCAGTCACTGGCGAACACTATAAGTGTCATACATATTTATGTAAAGGGTAACATAGCATAAAGTATCAAAGGTTTTACCAATGCAGGTCATTATTTTTACGGGTCACCATCACATATAAAGGGGTGAGAAAATGATGTAAGAATAAAATATATTGTTATGTAAAATGAACCTTGGTTCTAAAATTCGATTATTAAGGTAGGTCCAAAGTAATGACAAACAGTTTTTGAGCATATAAAACAGGTTTGTAGTTTGTTCATGTCTAAGGCTTCATCAAATTTAAGCTTTTGGCAAAAAAGTATTTTAAAAGCAGTACTGAAGCCAAATTTTAGACCTGTCTCCTATGTATATTTGTGAATTTGTGCGGGAATAACTAATCATGTGGATAGATTCACACCCTCTTCCTTATGTAATATAGTTCGGCATTCACTTTCTAGATCATGTAAAATGTACTACCATCTAGTGTACAAAGACACCTATTTGATTTGCGGACTTCATTGAGTGATGTGAATAAATTTCAGTTAATCTTAACAGTAGTTAATTCGTTATTTTGTCATACTAATTCTCTTCTGTGCTGCATATTATTACAAGTTAATCACTGACTGGTAGATTTAGTACCAGTAGGTTGTATCACAATAGTTAGTTACTTTTAAATGCTGTCTTCAGAATTTATTATTCCGTCTTTTCTATATTTGTTTAAGAGTAGATTTCACCTTAGTTAACTCTAGTCAGGTAGGGTCGCATTTACGAGAAAAATATCTGTCCTTCTTTTTGAATTCTTCACTCTTGCTTCGATTTTTTCTCATCAGTTTCTCTTTCTCAGACGAAGTAACTAATCAGGTAATACTATACGCACTACAGATAATGTAGATACCTCTAGAAATCTCTACTATCGACTTCAATCCTTTCATTCATGAAAAGTAACAAAAGTCTTAAGTAAATACTAACGAGATATGCAGGTTTCGAATGATTTCAGGCATCAGTCTGAATATTTTTAGGAAATAGAGAATCATAGTGATCTATTCTGTTTTCTATTTATTTATGTTTGATACATGTTGATACCTGTTGCATGATTCATGATTGGACAAGAATTTTAAAAACAAGATGTGTCCCTTTATATATAAACTTTGTTATGTTAATTTCGATTAATTTCCCTGAAGAAGTTCGGACCAGATTGCCGAACGAAACGTTGGAATTAATCATTTCAATTTCGCTGAGATTTTACAAATATAACTTTATATTCTGTTTTCTGTTTGGAACCTTCTGATAATTACCATCATCGACTAAACACATCAGGTTTCTGAGACAGCAAGGTGTCCTTCATTCTCTGAGCTGAAATCCCATCACCTAAGTTCTTCTGTTTCAAACAGTTCGTTGTATCATGTGGCCACTATCCGAATTGCTTCGTGACACATTCAGCCATATGTACAAGGGACTGAACACATCAGCTCCCCTTTTTGTTTCAAAGTGTTGGCGATTCTACCTCAAAACCAATACTCAAGGTGTCTCAAATTACTTATACGAAACAAGATAAAAATTAATTGCCAGACCATTATTTTCGAGGCTATAAATGACTTTATTCTCAAGATATGAAAAAGTTCTAACACGAAACTTATTATTTGGTTTAGTAGGAACAATGGATGTGATATTTTAACAAAATACTACTAACTTACAGTTTTCATCAGTTTGTTTCATTCTTTTCTTGAACAGTAAGTCTTTCTGTTAAAATTATTGAAACAAAAAAGTGGAAAGAATAAAGGTGAATTTAGAAACAGTAACTTTTATTCATTGTTAAATGTGTGAAACAAATAATTCAAAAGCATTTCTAGCTAATATCACCTTAAACACAGTGGGAATAAAGATGGAACTTTAATGAACATCATGATTTTGTAGTATTTGTTTTGACAGTAGTTGGAATTCACCAGCCAATGGGTCTTGTCCCGATGTCTGAATGGTCTACGAGCTCCCTTAATAATCTGCAGGCCCTATGTTAGATCCTCAGTGCAGTCCACATATTGCGATATGAATTATTTCGGTTTTCAAACGAAACCGGGGTGAAATTTCACTTCGAACTGTGCAGAATGGTAACTACTAATCAATTTGCTAGTTGCAAATTTGATTTAGTGTGTCGAAAGTTGTCGCTGTGTGTAACAGGAATCTGCTGGAAGCACTGCAGAATGCTAGAATCTAGGTTTATTATAATTCTATAAAACTTGATACGGCCATCAAATACAATCGTGTAGCTTACGAGCCTCGTAAGAAAGAAAAGAAATGGATCGTTAAGTAGGGAGCTTTCACTGTTTCGAGTCAGTGGTGAAAAACACTTGACAGCTGGTCCATATACCTGTGTATATATAGGTTTGAATGACCTTGATATAAATGGTTTTAAAAATCCCAACTGAATTATTAATGGATAAATGACGCTTTCAAAATCTTAGGGATATAACTTCATGGGGGTGCTAGCGTCTGTCTGCTATTTATGTAGAGTCCTTCTTCAATACCGTTGGTTACGTCTTTAAGAACTAATTTTGTATGTGTCTAGTGAATTTTATGTGGTGTGAAAGCAGTTATTATTTTCATAGTCGCCAACATATGACACCATAGTTGTTGAAGGAGGGAGTCTTGTTTGGTTTAAGAATTGATCCCAAATACCATAAATCCATTAAAAATTTGAAGTCGCTATATTGCATTTGACAGCTTGCTATTGTTGATAATTTTGTTTCAATAATCATGAAATCATTATATCAACTCTATTTGATATGGAACTAACAGGTATAATATATTTTGAGGATAGAATAACTAACTTTTTTATTTATTTTTTAATTTTTTATTTTGATCACAGCTTGATGCCACACTGTATTTTCGGTAGAGGTATGGGATTTTCAGCATATTATATTGGTAGCCTAAATTTCTCAGGCCGATCAGAGATATCGGGTGTGCGTCGACGTGGGATCGAACCCCGAACCATATGCATGGTCGGCGAAAGTCTTGACCACTGTGCCACCGACGCACAAGGCCTTTAGCAGAGCGTGAGGAAAAATGGTTTAAGTCGGTGGCAAAGCAGTAGAATGCTCGCAAACCCCGCAGATGGTTCGGGGTTCGATCCCCAGCTGACGCACTCCCTCACTTCGCTAAGCCAGTATTAAGACTTATGTAGATAGTTTTGGTCAGTCAATTATGTTTGAAATTTAAATGAGTAAGGAACAGTTTACTTGTTTACAAAGTCATACAAACGAAGAAATTTATAATCACTCAGACTTCTCACCTATTTAGCTCGTAAATTGAGAATAAAAACAGACAAGTTTTGGCTCTAGAGAACTTAGTAGATAAACTGAATAAAGATAGCTTTATTATGGATGTCACTGTCCAGTTAAAGCTACATTAAAGTGTTAAAGTAATGCTTGTTTTGAAATACTTATAGAAATAACAACAAACAGTTCAGCGAAGAGAATCTTCTTTGAGTGAATTCATTCAGTTAGCAGTACATTCGTAATTATATATAATTATGTGCATATTCAGTCTATCGAACATACAATGAGAATAAACAGCTGAAAGTATTGTATACATCATCAAAATATTTCAAAATAATAATGAATAATCAAAATGTCACTTTGCTGAATCGTTTGTTTCTTCTTTCATGCCTGGATGGACATGGTCAATGGTTTTATTAAGTCCCGTTTACAAATTATTTTATAGAGAACATTAAGACGAACAGAAAAGGACGACAGCAAATTAAAGAGATGTCGGTTATAAGATCTTACATCTGTTCTTCGGACTTCAGGCTCAAGTTAACATATATGTGATAAATTTCTAGGGGGTTTGTCAATTACTCAATGATACTGGTAGACAGTTGTTAAAAAAATGAAGAAATTCAGCAGAATCTCATCTCTTTTCGAGATTACTGGTTATCAGAAGCTCTTGAAATCATCATCATCAACTTTTCATATTTAGGAATGTTTATTTAAAGCTAATTACAATGGCGAAGTGATTACTCAGTCATTCCAAGTGATCACCTGCGTGTACTGTGATTTAGACCTCATTTACTTAGTTCCAGTTCACGTAAATGTTTCCACATGCATTTTCTTGAGCAGGTTTTACTATCCAGTATTTTCTAATTTATTCATTGTGTCGGACTAACATCCCCTTAATTAATCACAAATGCATGTTAAGTGAAATACTATTCTCTTTCAATGTTAACTAACTTTTCCAAGTGTGACCACTCTTATATTGCTTTAATACCTGATTTTAAAGTGTTTAGATTCACATATTGTGTACTACTTGACTGGTTTTTTGTTAACAATGTTACTGATTTCTTTTAAATGTTGGTTGAATTTAGAATCCATCGGTCATTGAATTTTAAACCAACACCCGAATAATGAGTGTGATCTCGACATATGAATAAAAATCCCAGATTTTTACGGCTAAATGGGTACACATTACTGAAGAGCCCTTCGATTAAGAAGAGATTCCTGACCACTACTCTCTGGGTTTTAGTAGTTCTCTGACAAATATCACTTTCTGGCAAAACCTATTTTCTAAACAAGTAATGTAAAAAAGGACATCTAAAGTTCAGATAAATAAATCCAGTAAAAAAAAGATCAAATCAAATCAATAGACAGGTCAACTAACAAGATCTAATCATGTGTAAGATGTGTTATAAGGTTAGGAGACAATTCTTCATGAATACTCATGAAAAGTTCATCTATTTATCTTCCTCATGATGTGAAGACGAAAAGATCGTTATTGAGTTGGTTGGTAAAAATCTCAAGTTCAAATAATTACGTTGTGATAAATTTCCCTAATAAATTTGAACGAGGCAATAACAGTACTTGGTGCAGAATAAAAATAACATCCATTCTTTACTTCGTATGTATCTTGTCAACTTCATTCAACCTAAGCAATTAAGTTTAGTAGCTTTATAATTTTTAGCTTGGGTCACTTCATTGGATTTAAAATGTGGGAGAGGAATTGCGAATGATCATGATGTGTAAATGTATCGTAGTGTTAAGTTTAGAAGATATAAAATATTGCTTTCTCTGATAAATAAAATGTAGGGAGTAAGGGTATAAGCCGGTAACACAGCAGTAGAATGCTCGGCAACCACACAGGTGGTTCGGCTGTATGTTCACCTGAAAGAAGTCTTATCTTTGATGCTTCTTCTGCCAACTTGTTGCTTTTCACTTGCGCATCTTCCACTTTGTGGGAAATCAGACAAATATCATCGACGAAGTCCAGATCCTCCGAGATTTTTGTGTGGGTCCACTTCATGACAGTCTTCTCGTTGCCCGCCGCCATCTGTCGCATTATCCAGTTCACCACAATCACGAAAATCATTGGAGATAGTAGGCAGCTAGCTTGTCTTACTCCCCTCTTCACTTTGAAGGATTCCGCGAGTTTCCCGTTGTGGATTACTTGGCATACAGCATTATCGTACAACTGTTGGATGAGATGCATGATTGTTCGCGGCAACTCATAGTAGCGAAGTAGTTTCCAAACCACCTCTCGATCAACGCTGTCGATGGCGATACAAGTTGAAAATTTGAAAAGTCTTTGGCTTTCGACGTTTTGGTTATCTTTTTGAAAAAAATTCAAGATGCCTCTTTGATTCCCTGTATCAATCAAATCTCTCATATCTGTGCTGTTCAAAGTTTTACTACCCCTAATTCTATGGCTGTGCCTCCGCAGCTATACGTAAATTGATATACAAAGTTGGAACTAGCGAAAAGAAGAGTATCTGCGGACTTTTGATTTAACTAACAAGTATTCTGTTTTGTACTCATGGATCAATCAAGAAGCAGGGAAAGTCCAAATCAACTATTTCTTAATTCACCTATTGGTTACCCCTTGTATGTTATCACCATTTAATTTTAGGTGGAAATCGAAACATATAGGTTCTCTAACCACATTTAACAAGGGCTAATAACACCTGTCTGAAATCTTAAGGAAAACTGATAGTGAATTCAATTTACAGTCATTACAGTCAAATACACGTATATAACTAGATTTAGGACATTCTGTCTTTTTATCTTAATAGATGACAAGAAATACTTATCAATTATTTTATCACGGTCAGAACGATGCGTATACTTGTTTGGAAATAACAGTAATAGTTTTTTTCTGTGTAAATACTTTTCGTGAATTCATTACGCTATTCCACTTATATACTTTTATTCCTCTTAGATGATTACATATTTAGCAGTGCATTATTTTGTGTTTCAATATCTTGCAACTGTTGTATATGTAAGTAGAACCGACAAGTAATCATAGAATGTTGTGTAGTTTATTTTATTTGAGGAAACAGTGACTTTAATTAGTGCCTACTAATGCGTGTGTGTGTGCCTATGTGTACAAGAGAATGTACGAATATCATAGTTCAAGATGTGTGAAGAATCATTGGCATATTTAATTGGCCCAATGTTGACTATTTTTAATCAGACAATCAAATGAAATTAGCCTCAAAAACTTCATGATTTCTTCTGTTTATTTGTGGAGAGTAATTTTACGCATTCCGTTCTTTTTTGTCTTGTATTTTGACGCCTAATTAACTAACTAACCAGAATAAAAGATTCACAACTTGAAGTTGCATACAAAATTCTGTAGAGTATGGAATCCATGCAGTTTAAAGTCTTAATCACTCCTTCGTCGAATGCAAGATATAACCGTATAAATAATTCAGATAGAAATTTATTTGACTAGAAGACGTTTTATCTCGTTATGAG